CGATATTTAAAGAAGGATTTATAGGCTAGTTATACGGTGTAAGAAATGTCGTTAAAAGTTTTAGAGAAGTTTTTTATAAAAAAATGTCTCTAAAGAGTTGCATCAATTTTTAGAAACACTTTTTTAAGCTTCTCTAAAGATTAAGAAAAAGTTTAAATTTTTTAAAATTAAATAAAAGTATTTAGTTACTCTTTAAAAATGTATCTAAAAGTTTTATATTAAAAATAAATAAAATAATATATGATCTATATAGCTTTATATTAAATAAAAAAWCAAAATTAAAATTTTATGCTCGTTTTCTTCTCGTCGCTCAATCACCACCAGAAGCCCTAAATCGCTCAATCGCTCAATTGTGATCATCACCATCGCATCGATTRATCTTGTGATCTTCTCTTTTYTTCTCTAAATCAGTTGCTCGAACAACAGGTACACAATCTCGTTGATTTCTATTTAGCGATTTTTCGGGATGTCATTGGGCGCTTTTGTGTTCTGGCAATCAATGGTAAAGTTCATGTTTAGATCGCTCTTCACCAGGATGAGATGGTCTCAATCTTTCTATTCCTCTCTGTATGTATATCTATATGTGTTCTTATATGCTTTGATTATGATCGTACTTAGAATACTGTTTAGAAAGTCCACAATGTCAGTCTGCTACTGGAACGTTCTAGTTTAGGTCAGAATACTTATTTCCCTGAGGCGGTGCTTCAGGTTCCACCCAACCCGAGCATGGCGGAGGCTCGGAAGGAGGCAGAGATGGTGATGTTTGGTGCGATTGATGAGCTATTGGCCAAAACAGGGGTGAAGGCTAAGGATATTGGGATACTGATAGTCAGTTGTATCTTGTTTTGCCCAACACCTTCACTTAGTTCCATGGTGTTGAACCATTACAAGCTCAGAAGGAATATTTTGAGCTATAATCGTTAAGGTCAAACCTTGCTTTCTTTCAATATGGACGWTTTCGACCGATTTCAGACTTCAAATTCGAATTCGTGCTCCAAGACGACCGATTTCAGACTTCAACTTCATGGCTCCAAGACGACTGATTTCAGACTTCAAATTTGCTTCAAATCCGTGGCTCCCAAGATGACTGTCAATATAACCAGGGTTTTGGAGTATTGATTTTCAACAACGATTTTCCTGAGGTATTGATTTACATTTCACGGCTCCCTAGCGATTTCTCAAAAAGGAAGGGATGGTTAATACTAAAAAACAAACAGAAAAGAACCCACAATTAGAATGTGTTTCAAGGCTGGGGCTACATCTACATCATATTACAAAGATAATGTGTTCATAGCGTTATTATGGAAGTAAATACGTGGTCCATAACAAATTAATAGATTTTACACCTAGGGTATATACAAGGCAGCATCTGAACAGGACCATCCCATCCTAAGATCCATTATGAACTGGTCTGATTCCATGGAAGCAACTGTTAAAAAGAAATGAGCCATCTAGAGCAACACCATAACTCAGAACCAATATGCCACATAAAAAACCAGCTACGCGGACTAGACAAGGTAAATTTAATTCCATGAATTACACCTTTCTATTCAATTAGAGAATCGTCCTAGTTTTACAGTGCCTATCCTTGCTAAACATGTAACTCTTTAAGATTTATGATATACAATACAGTTACTGTTTCTTGTTAATTATATCTAGTTCCACTACGGGGTCGTTGCAGGAGAACACTTGTTGAAGGACCAGATCAAATCAGTTCAAAAACAGGAGGAGAAGCCAAAGGTATTTCACTAATTTTTTTTTTCTATATGGTATATGTTTTGAACTCATTAAATGCCTACAGTTCATCATAAGTTGAAGTCTAACTAAAGGTTTTTGTAGTGGGTTATTGATGGCTTTGAAGGTTATTGGGCTGGTTTGCTTGGATAACTTGTTTGGCCATTCATCATCTCATCTTAATATGAGATGTTCATATACATTGTAAAAGTTTTTTTATTTATATTGTATTTCTTGCTTATTCTATATCATGTAAATGCAACATATAGAGCATGTATATGTATGGCAAGTGAGTATTTGATGTTTTGGCCTGCAGGCGAAACCAGAGACAGTGGACAAGGTGTGTAGCATTGTTAGGAAGCAGCTGGCACTACCAGAAGACTCTGCTGTAACCGGAGAGTCCAAGTTTTCTTCACGTGGAGCTGATTCTCTTGATACAGTATTCTTCTTTCTTTATTGTCTTCTTTAACCGAGCTAAGTGCTTTGTGGCTTCAACCAATATTATTTTTACACAAGAAAAGATGTAGCTCAATCGCCTAGCCTAACAGTAGATCAATTAATTTAACAGCTAAATGTCTTTTTATTTTTTTCTCCAGCTTGGCCTTTTCATCCCTCCTTGACATTATATGCCCATCATGTTATTGGATGACCAACTATTTTGGCTTTTCATATGTTGTTGTTCTTATCCTTAACAAAATTTTGTGTCATTCTTGTATTTATTTTATAGATAAATTTTGATGTCGACTTGTCTTCGAAGATTGTGGTTGATGTGATTGACTTCCAAAATGGGTTGATCTTTCAAAAATCACCGAGCAAAGYTGCAGGAGCATTTTTTAAAATGCCATGGCCAAGAGGACRTGGAAAGAGYCAAAGGAATGAAGCCAACTGACTCGAACGTTACAGATGATGCTTGGCATATACTTTGCGATTACTGGAGTTCGGAGAAGTTTCATGTAAGTTGTTTATTTTCTATATCTTGAAAATGTCTTGGTAAGCATTTCTTGTATAGCATTGACACACTCAATACGGCATGACAAGTTTGATATTTGAACTTAGATTTCTGTAAAGATGACAGAATATAGAGGCTTATAGAATGCATATTATAATATTTAGAGTTGAACGAAATTATAATATAGAGGCTTATAGAATGCATATTATAATTTAAGATTTTTTCAAGTAGGTTTCCTCTTAAAAAGCAGCTATAGAACACCTAAGGTCTATGGTGCTGAGTGTAAATGTAGTCCAAGTGAGCCTCTTCAAGAACTCTTCTCTTCAAGCACTCTTCATCTCTGCTTCCACAGTCCTCCATGCTGAGTGTAAATGTAGTCCAAGTGAGCCTCT